TTCCAATGACCTCTACTATTCTTTCTTGTTCTAACGTTGTTGCTGTATTGTGCTGCCTTGCAGTGATGTCTTTAGGGTGTATTGAAACATGGAGGACTCAGATGGCCCTTTCACTGAATGTCCATTCCTCACTCAACTACTCTGCTTGAACAGTTCTTCTGCCTGCTCTGTTGGTCTCTTGTTTCTCACCCCTGGTCAACTTCTATTGGCTGACAATATGTTGCAGTTTCTAATCCACTCCTGTTTTTCACAAACATGGTCATTTGGAGAAGACCAGTGGCCTCTCTACATATTTCTAGTATTATTAAGTTCATAGCTTTTTGGAGTATCTGTGCTGCTGAAAAGTCTTTTAAACTAATTTTGGGGTGCCCTGGGTTACAATTGGCTGAGGTGGCTGCAAATTGGACCTCTAGGTAGGCAAGGCTTCCCTGAATTGTTAGCCTTCCCTCCACAGCTGTGCTTTAGTATAGTCTTGAATCTACACCCAAATCGTTGACCTCCCGCTATTCATATTTTACATTCTATGTCATGAGAATAAACCTCCTGGACATGTTGATCATGATGGAGTTGTTTTTGATATGTGGTCTAAGGAAAGATCTTTCATGTCAGTTGTATCACATGGTGTAGCAGAGAGAATGCAAATGTAGAATCAGATAGACATGGACTCACATGTTGGCTTTGCCCCTGTTTAGCTGTTCAATTTTCCTAACTGTGCAATAGAGAACCTCTAGGTTGTTGTTTTACCACCTATAAAATGAGGTTAATCATAGTTTCTACTTTATTGTCCTGTTTTGAGGTTTAACTTAACTATACGTATAGAAGTTTATTATAGTGCTCGGCAAATGTAAGAATTTAATAAATGTCATCATCATTCATCTTATTATTAATATATATATTCATTGTAGAAATTTGAAAATATAGAATGGTACAAAGAAAGATTAAAAACCACAGAATTCTATCACTTTGATAACTATTGTTAATATATAGGCATATATATATACAATGTGTATGTTTATATATAATATAGAGAGTATATATTACATATATAGTGTGTGTGTGAGTATGGGTGCATTTGCCTAGCCCATTCCATGTTACTCTACAAAATGGATATTTCCTTCAGCAATTCTGATTAAAACCCCAAATTTTGGACCACATTGGGGGTTTCCCAGACCCGCTTCTGGAGCAAAGTATTAACACACATTTTTTTTTTTAACAAGCTTCTTCCCAAGAGGCTAGGAAGGAGGGTACATAATCAAATTATATAGAGCAATTAAAAACCTCTTTTTTTGTAGGTAGTTTGGCTCAATTTGATGATCTTTTCTGAGCAGGTGCTACATGGATTACACATAGCTCTTTCTGTGTTTATCTTAGATAAAAAAAAAATCAAGAGGAAAAATGCTCTAGGTTCTGCTTTTTGCAGGGCTTTATGTCCAAAGGTCAGTAATTTTCCAGGTTGGAATGGCAGGAATTATCTGTACAGAATACAGTAGTTATGTTTTTTGATAAGGGGCTACACTCGTTCTCTTTTAGATACCCTACAGATTAGGCAGCCAGAAATCAAGTTCAGTGCTCCAAAATGTCAAAGCTTCAGTTGACAAAGAAATAATTTTAGAGTCATGGTGTGAAGTGCAAAGTAGGCTTCTTCCTGGAATTTTGACTAGAACTCACATTTGAGAACAAAAAGCTCCAAGTCCCCTGTATTTTAAGTTCAGAGAGTTGTCGGTCCTTAGGAACAGCCTTCAGACTTTGCCTGCTGAGAGGCACCATTTTCAGCAGAATAGGCACCGATGCCCCTCCCCTATTTGCTTACTTCCCCCTCCATCAAGTAAAATACGGCTACAGATATGAGGCCATCTTTGGGGGAATTAGAGATTGGTGAAGTGGCAACTATTCCTTCCTCCTCTCCTCTCTGTGGAGCGGTCAACTTGTCTCCTCCTTCCTACAAGATTGAGGGTGGCAGAACTGCCTCAGCCTCTCTCCCTCAAATCAGGGAGTAATATTATCTCCTGTCTGACAATCTGGGGTGAGAAGTCAGAACTGAGAGGCAGATGCCAGATGCAGTGGGCATTCCCACCCTTTGGCATGGCCAGAGTATGGGAGTCTCCTATGCCTGAGTGGACACCACAGAAGGGGGCTTGAGCTGAAATTCTCTTGATTAGACCCCCAGGAGGGCTGCCAGCTTGGTGAGGGAGTCCCATCGCAAGTTACCATAGGGAAGGTGCTGAGGAGGGGTGAGAACACGACCAACTTCAGCTAGATCTTCCATTCTAGGACACTGTTCAGAGGAGGCCTCCCATGGGGTCCTCTGAAGAATCAATGTGCTCTTTCTTCTCAGAGAGCCAACATTTTAAATCCTGCCTCACATAGGGAAACAGGGCCATCAGAGTAGACAGGACAACATTGATACCGATAGAAAAGGGATGGTGACATCACCACCATCACTACCACCACATAAGGGAATTGAAATTATAATCAATAATGCAGAGGGAAGGCATGAAAAAAAATGATTTGTCTTCTCCCTCCCAACCACTCTTAACCCAGGGGAGCCTGGGCAGAAAAGAGGGCAGTGTGTGAGACAGAATCTCCCTTCACATTGGTCTGACCCCTTTTCCAGGTCTCTGGAGCCACTAGTCAGCCTGGCATAGAGGCAGACTTTGAATCAAATATCAGATTGGAATTTTAAAATAGGGAAGTCTTCCCTATTTTATTAAATTAACATTAGTTAAATTTTAAATTAGATATATAAAATTATGTAGAAATATCATGTGTAATATATAAAATATAAATGAGATAATAAAATATCACAGTGATTCACTTCCTGATTTGCAACATTCAACAAGCATTTTATCAACTCAAACATGTCTATCATGTTAGGTATTGAGCAAAAATGTTAGGGATTTGAGAATGAATGTAAAAGGTAGATACAGACCTTTTATAGCAGAGATTACTGGCCACCAAAATCTTCTTTTCTTATAGGGCACACAGCTCAGTTACATTTCCCAGCATCCCTTGCAGTTGAGTATGGTCATGTGACTAATTGTCACCAATGGAATGTCAGTGGAAGCTACACGTCACTTCCTCCCCTAGGCAGTTCCATCTCGTTCTGTTTTCCTGTCAGCTGAGTGCAGATAGCTACAAGGCTCTGGGAATGCCAGAGCCACAGGGTGGAAGGCGTCTGAATCCTTGAATTGCCACATGGGGGAAGAGCCACCCATTAATCAGGGTACACACTTTGGACTATTATGTGAGTGGGAAAAAAAATTCTATTGTGTTTGAGCCATTATATATTAACTATGTGGGGAACTATTTACAATAGAAGTTTATCCTACCTTAGTTATAATAATATACCACTGCAATAGGAATTTTCCCCTCACTAATCAGACTTTTGGTTCTTTTCTGCTTTATGAATAACACTTACTTGTTCTGACTTCCTTTTATCTCTCCAGCCTTTCTTTTTGTGACTAGAAATAAAGTGACTAGGATTCTGTGGAGATAGTATAACAGAAAAGGATTGTATTTAAGTGAAATTATTAGAGGTTTCGTTGATTGTTTTTTTTTTTTTTTGCTAAATCCAAACTCTTTCTCAAGGCAAGATAGCAGTTATGGGTAGCCAAAAATCTCCATGAGTAGGAACAGAGACCACTGTGGAAACTGCTTCAACCTTGACATGACTATCTATTATGGGTCCTGGTGCTGAGGGTCAGCATTCCTTATTCTTAGTCTGTTCTTTGTCATAAGAAAGCTCCAGGAGTGTGGTGTTCCCCTAGCCTCAGGGGAGGAAACCCTTGTAGAATAAGGTAGGAGAAAATTTGCTCTTTCCTTTGCACAGCAGAAATTTGCACAGGAAGGAAGCCTCTAGCAATTGTGAGATAATCCTAAGGAGCTTGAAGGGAGTTCATTTATGTTTAAATAATTTTATCCAGCCCTCTCTGATAATAAAACAAATGTAAACAAAGTAGATGAAAATTTTCAAATTGGAGAATTGATAATTTTTAAGATAACAGCTTTAAAATTAAATAAAATATTGATATGTGTGTATATACACATATACATAAAGTTTATCTATTTGGTTTATCATTGCTTAAACCTATTATTTTAAAATTCACTCCAGATGATATTTAGCATGCGTCTATACAGAATTTTTTAAGAACTCAAAAATACCAGCTGGGAAAATTTGTACTATGCTAAAATATATTTTATGAGAGAAGTTCTCAAGAGGAAATTGCAAAAGAAATTAGAATAACCAATGTCTTTAAGTGAAAGAAAATGTCATAAATAGAGATACCGCAAAATCTTTTCCTGTTGACTCTGTAGTTCCGATTGGCATTTCCCTTTTCTTTACTGTTCTGTCAGTGATTTATTTGAGGCTGAGGGCAGATGCCTAGATGATTTGTGAGGCCTACCTAATGCCATGATGATAGGGATCAATGGTTTGCTCTAAGAAGTAGTAAAATGCATCATCTCTATTGAACAAATGATATTTCTAAAAATATTTTGCTAAGCATAGAAGTAAAACTTGAGATTTACTGTCAGAAAAGAAACATTAGAAAGTTAATCCATCTGCCTCATGGCATGATTGGCATTTCTCTCAATCAAACTTTATCTGTCATCCCAGTTGAAAGGAAACAGGTGCCTCAAAAAAATGTGCATTTCTAAATGGTCTTCTTTGGAGCAGGAAGATTTCTGCTTGACACAATGCTGTTTCCTGTATCACTCTTTTTCAATATCAAGTTGAGGATGAGAGACTACTGAGACCAAATGAAGCAAAATCAATCTTTAGATGTAATAACGTACCAAAAGCCAGGTGACTAAAAGAAGTGCTTTCTGTTGAATTATTAATTTTTTACTTTACTTATAAAGTGTATTATATGCCCATTGCAAAAAAAATTGGATAAGCCAAATGGACACAAATAAGAAAGCAATCATACCACCCAAAGATCACCTTGTTTGTATTCATTTAATATTTTTCTAAGGTTCTGCTTTATTTAAAACATTTGCAGACCATGGATTTCAAACCGGAGACCTGAAACCTGGAAACTTGATGCTACTGGACAAGAGAATAGACATATTCAAAGTAAGAAGTGAAACAAAGGATTTTAAAAAGAAGCTACAGAAATGTGGTGAGTGTATTTTAGATATTACAAGTTAAATTTTTGTTAAAGATAATGAATACTTTTGTTCTTCTGGTAAAATACATTCATATTTTATAAATAAAATATAATGCATACTAACTACTGTATATATCAATAATTAGTGTGTAGGGCTGTGGTAGTCCAGGAAACATTAGGAAGTTGAGAAATCATAATTTTACAAACACCATACACGGAATACAGAAACAAATTGATTATTTATTTTAGAGTATCAAGTACTATAAGTTTTGATAATGGATATGAAAGTTTTTTGTCAATTCTAATGTGTACTGAAGATGCTATCATTACTATTAATTATTTTTATTATTATTACTAAATACATGGGATCAGAAGTCAATGTGAGAAAAACTGAAATTCTACAGAAATGTTTCCTGATTCTTTTGGAAGATGTAATGGGCTGAATATATATTATTAGCAAGAAATATTTGATGGGTAGTTATGTAGAAGAGTGATTCAGTTTGAGCCTATGAATCTGAAGGAGGCATTTTTTAAGGATAACAGGGAACTTCCCAGGATAAAGACTTTGGACAGTTTCCTTAATTTAAAAAATCCCATTAGAAAAATAAGCATTAAATTAAATGATAACTAAATACTATCCTATCCTCACCAGAAAATTTCTCTTAAATTTCAGAATAAGGTCAGCAATTTTACTTCACTTTGGATGTCCCTTGATTAAAGCTTGGGCAGGGTTTTGGGAGCATATTGAGTGGTTTCCCTTTCTGAAAAACATTTTGGTCTCTTTATGTTGAGCATTTCCCCCAAGTCAGCCTGTTAAAATATTTCTTTCATGTTTTAGTTAGAAACATTTCCAGCACTTGAAAAGCAAATACAGTATGTTTATGTCATCTAAGAAGCGGCAAGCTTTTTGCTAGTCTTCCACTGATGTTAAAACTACATAATTTGTAACAGCCCAAAGTGGCTGAGATTGCAGGAAGTTGAATTGTCTTCTCTTTGAAAATTTAACATTGTTATTATCACAGGGTCTTTATTTTATTCCTTTGTATGAGTCAGAATAGGATAAGTGTCACAACAAACAATTCCAAAAATCTCAGTGGCTTAATACAATGAGTGTTTACTTATCATTCATGTCACATTCAAACTCAGGGGTGTAGGTGATTCTACTCCACTCAGTCATTCAAGGATCCAGTCCTCTTCTATAATGTGGTGTAGATCACTTCCACACAGTTCATTGGCCAGACTCGATGACACAGCCATGCCTAACTATAGTTCAACTAAATGCTCAGGAGGAAAAGAAAACAATATTTTGTGAGTACATGGTAATCTCTATGTTATCACCCCCTAAATTGGAATCACATGTAATAAAAAAATCTGAAATTTTCTAGATTGTTTCTTAAAAGAGAAAGTCACCATTAAAATAAGAAGAATGGTTATGTGGTAAACATTTTGGCTTTGAGGTATCCCCGATATAGACCTGTGCATTTCAGATTGGTTTTAGGGAGACTGAGCATTGCTGGGCTGTAGGGGCCTTGACTCATGATCATACATTATCACATAACATTATATGGGACAGTAATTTCTGACCTGGGGGCCTCCACCCCTGAAAATCTCAAAATGATTCCATGAATCCACATGTAAAAACACATTTCTAAATCAGCCACTGAGCTAGGATGGGGGCTATTACATAATGCCCAAGAACACCATTGTGTTCTTTGCTAATGATACACTTCTAAGAATTGAGTAGTGTTTCTTGGAGCCTGTTTATGAGGGCTTCTATCAAACTCAGGGGTGTTCAGAGAAGACTGACTAAGAGAGTGAAGGCGTTTCAAACCACATCATTCATTCAATGGCACTCAAGGCCTACCATGTGCCATTCACCGTGGTGCTGGAAATATGAGAGAACAAAAGCAGGAGTGTTTCCTCCTTCATCGAATTTAATAGTGGCAATAATGAATCAGGAAACAAAGACATGAGCATGTTAAAGTGAATTAGTTATAAGTGCATGAAGAAAATAGGATTACGTGCTAGGGGCTGTCTAGTAGGGGTAGAATTTCATTAGCTAGAGTAAGTCAGGAAGGTCTTTCTGAGGAGTTGGGATGTTTTAGTAGAGATCTGGTTGACGAGAAGGATCCAGCTATATGGGGAAGAACATTCCAGATAAAAGCCCTAAGGAAGGAATGACTAGCCAGTGTGGCTGGAGGGCATGAGCAAAGGGGAGGAGTGGTAAAGAAGCAGTCAGAGATGGGTAGCATCCATCTCACAGTGTTTAGATTTTATTCTAAGTGTGATAAGATGCCACTAGAGTTTTAAATAGGGAAGTGACGTGACTGGGTTTACACTATTAAAGTGGCATTCTGGCTGCTGCTTGGCGAATGGACAAAACAGGAGCTGGCTGGCACATTGCCCCAGATGATGGGAGCACGGTGATCTTGCTACTGGAGGCTCTGTCCCCTGAAGTTTTAATCCCGGGCTCCCATAGGAAACACAGGCTCTGCAGCTGTGGGGACTGATCTATGGGCAGCTGAACTATCTGCTGCATCAGAACACAAAGCTGCCCTCTTGTGCACAGGGCCTCCCCTTCCACCGTACCCTCCTTCTTTCCCGAAGTAGATTGCTAATTGCCATTCTTAAGAAGGAGGGAGGAAGGAAGGTTGGTCTTATGAGAAGTCACCTTCTGGCTAAAATACCTTCCTAGCTTCTCTTCCAGCTAGAGGTGGCCAATGAAGTGTAGGCAAAACATGTTGGGCAGGACCTATGAGCAGACTGTCAAGGGGAGAGCTCTGCTCAGAACACAGGTGTGATGGATGGAGAAAAAGCAAGCATCTTGCCTGCAGCAAGCTCCACGATGGAAGTTGGGAACTCGGGAGGCTGGAGCAGAAATGTAAAATGAGTCCAAGTCCCTAATGACAACATGGAGGTGTCCTACATCCTTGGACTGCCTGGTTCACTTCTTTTATTTAAATGAAAAAGAAGCTTCTATCTTGAAAAACCACATGTATTTTTATTACTTGCAGCCATTACAATTCCTAATTGAGACGCTTCTCCTCTCCAGCTGAAACTACTTTTTAAAACAGCGTTTCCTAACTTCTGTGAGCTGCTCTATGACAGTTTACTTGGTCAGATGAGTTTGGTAAATGCTGCATGCTACATCCCACTTAGGCTTCTTTGACCACCCTATTTAAAAATGTACCACTACCACCACCACCCAACCTGTCCTCCTTTTCCTTTCTTCCTGCTTCATATTTCTCATGTCCCTTATCATTATCTAACACACCATCTGCTTTATGTATGTTATTTATTGCCTGTTTCTTGCACCTCTCCCCACAATTCAAAAGTAAACTCTATGAGGATTTTTATTTGTTTTTTTCACTGTTGTATCCTGTAATTTTCCAATTCCACCAAATTATTCAGTTTGTAGAGAAATGAGCATGGAGACTAATCAAGACTAACCATGACAGTGACACTTCAACTTCTCTTTTAGTCTATTCATTTTCTCTTCTCTCTCTCTCTCTCTCTCTCTCTCTCTCTCTCTCTCTCTCTCTCTCTCTCTCTCGCTCACACACACACACACACACACACACACACACACACACACACACAAACACGCTCACACATACTTTTATAAGTTGGTTTCCATTCTGTTTGTCCCACGTCTTACTGGTTTAAAACACACCTTAGAAATAAAGATCAAGGACTAATTGGCAAGGAGGAGAGAGGACAAAGCTCCTGATATCCCTGTCTCTTGTCAAAAGCAGGAATATTTTGTGTGATATGAACTTGTCAGGAAATGGTCCCCGTCTTCCTGCATCTGGCACTAATGATGACTTTCCTGGATTGTCTTGGTAGAAGTCAAATGATGAAGGGGAGAAAGGCTCTGCTGGGCATTCTCTATCTGAAGGGAGCTGACAGCAAATCATGCTGAGATCTTGGGCTGAAATGAATGGAGAAACTTGCAAGGATGTTGCCATTTATGCCACCTGTCCCCTTAACTGGCCCGGATGCATTTTCAGGGCCAAGACTGACTCTCTGTCACTCTCTTGCATATGGGTGGTATGAAGTAAACAACAAGAATTAATGTTTGCTTGATAATACAAGGTTTGCATCACAGAGATCACAAATGACCTCAGATGGGGCATGACATCTCCAACTCCAGGAAAAGGAAAATTTTATTTCCTGGTCTGGGTATGTTTTATTTAAAGGGTTACACAGTCCTGGGCAGTATGATCCCTTCAGAAATGTCCCTAATTGTTAGTGAAGATGGTTGGGATGCCAGGTCCTGGATCCAGTCTGGGGTGTCAAGGCCTTTTGTTTTGTTTCTGCAGCCTTCGCACCTCTTGAGGGGAAAGGCTTTGGCCTGTTTTTGCCAACCTCTCTCCCCTTCTTTCCTTTGACTCAATTTCTGCAGTTGCAAAAGGGAGATGGAAAGGCTTGAGATATGCCTGCTTCACAGCAGTTTGGGGGAAATGAATAATACAAAACAAAACAAATCATATCCTCTTTCAAAAGCAAATTGATGCTTAACTATTCTGAGACTTAGTGGCTTAAAACAAAGCAATTTATTATTTCTCATGGTTTAAGGTGGCAGTACTCACAATGCCACCTTTCATTGGAACTACACATATTGAAATCGCATAGGTCTTCTTACACTATAGTTCCTGAGAACATTTTATTTTATGCTGGCTACTTCATTACTCATGATACTGCATCATCCATCGTGCTGCCATGAATACTGGTTTCCAATGATTCTCTCAGAGGTTGGTTACCATGCTTCATTGATGCTGGACAGTCTTATCCAAAGTATGCAGAAAATGTGAATGATAAATCATTTTTCTGGTCATGTTAAATTTATCATTCAGAATTTTGTAGTGTACATGTACAAAGAGACATCTTCCAACCATGCTATCTCTTGAACTCTTTGGGCCGCAATCACTGCATTCCTAGAGTGTGATCTCTTTCCATGTTGATCAGATCTTGGATGCCAGTGGTAGAGGGGAAAGGGGAAAGTCTGTCTG